TGTTTTTTTTAAGATTTAGTGGCGAGTCCCCCCAAGGCAAAATTCCCCCGACCCTCTTTTCCTTTTTTTTCCCTAAAGCCTTTTGTACTCCCACCTCCTATGCATTGTCATGCGCAGTGCCCAGGTAGCTCACGGCATCTGGCCCAATGCTGCGTATGCCACCTGGTCCCTTTTCCTTCCATTGGGGTTTCTGTCCCTTGTCATCCTCCTTCCAACCTGGGGGGGGCTGGGATGCCTTTTCCTGGTGGCTGTGGTGGGGGGGCAGGGATGCCTTTTTCTGGCAACTGTGGTGGGTCTAGTCTCCCATTTCGGCTCCCCTCGACCCTCCCATTCCCATCCTCAAACTTGACCATTTCCACCCTTTTCCTCCACGTATACCCAGTCTTCGTGGCCAGGATCCACCGTCGTCCATCTGGTCGGTGCGAGCTGGTCCTGTTGCAGTCTGCCTGTGGCCCGTTCTCGTTTGAGAGGGTGTAGGGGGCACACGGTTTCCATCCCCATGTGTCCATATGCCCTGCATCTAAAGCACCACAGCCTCATTTTATGGGCGGTCTGTACCTGGTAGACGCTTCCCCCCACCCTGAATGGTACGATATCATCGATGGTGAACACTTGGTCTTCCGGCAGGTCCAAGGCAAGCATAACATGGTCATCTCTTTTGGCCACGTATGACAGGAGTGGCTCGATGAAGTCAACGATATTGTAGTGATGACCAAACTCATGAATAAACGTGGCCTGTATCTCCACCGGGATATGCCTTAGTTCAACCCAATAATGGTCCCGCATCATCTGCTCCCATCTTTCCTCTGGCCCTAGTTTTTGGGGAAGCCAGGGGTAAATGCACACCTGCGATCTGCCACATCTCAACCTCTTTCAGCTGTCCATGCGGTGTTTGTCCTGTTCGAACATGGACAGGATCGTGTATACCGTAGAGGAGATAGGTTGAATAAAAAAGAAACTTCTGGACAGCCGACGGGCTGCCTTTCATTTCTTCTAACCGTCTACAGATCCATTTTATTTTCTCATTGGTAGATTTATAGGCAGCATCATCATGAAAAGCCCAGTTACTTCCATACTGTGTGTATATTTTTTTCTCTTTCCGCCAATTTGTTTGGTGGGTATGTTCTAATCAACAGCTTCCTTCCCCCCGGTCCATCACACTTTTCCGCGGGGTTCAGGAACAGGGCGAGGAAGAAAGCGCGGGCAGGAGAGAGGTTTTATGGTGGGATCTCTAGGTCCGCGGTCTGTGCTCCCAGTACATCATGTCCCCTATCCTGTTGTCTTCTGATGCATAGGGTCTTGTCCTGCATCGTGCTTCAAACCTTGCTCACCCATGAGGGTTGTTGCCCCACCTCCCCCTTCCTTTGCTTCTCTTCCCGTTGCCCCACTTCACCTTCCTGATTCCTCCCCCGATCTCCGGTGCCCACGTCCCCTTCCTTTCTCTCCTCCTCTGTTAACATGACCCCTGCTTCCTTCATAACCATATCACCCTCTTACCCTTGGTTCTTCATGCCATTCTCTCTTTTTTTTTTTTTTTTTCTCTTTCCAGAGGAACGCAAGGTATAGCAAAATCTAGCATCGACCCCGGCGTCATATCCGAGGAGATATCAGGGCTACTCACCGTCTCTTTATCACTTATACGTTCCCCAAAATCCCCTTTCTCTCTTCTCCTCGGGTTGCGTTCCGGAGTGCACCCTCGTTCTGCGGGGTTTGTTTCGTTCCCGTCCCCAACAGTCCGGATGTGTGACTCATAGCCCCCCTGTAGAGTAGCAGCGTGCCAGACCTCTTCCCTTTTTCATCATCAGCACTTTAACTGAGGTCATCTCGATGGATCTCAAACAGCAGGGGAGTTGCTCAATCCACCGGCGGTCGCCTTTCCAACAGTGAGTGTATCACGGCGTCTTATTGATTAATTGGTTCACTTTTCCGGGTATCCCTTTTTGGTTCTTGTTGAGTTTTAAGTGGATCAGGGTTCCTTGCTCTTTACCTATTATACCATGCTCGTTCATCTCGTATCATTTCATTCATCTTCCGTGCGTGATCTCGACTAGCTCCTCTGTCCACCCTATCAGCACCTACAACACAAAATCAATCGAGTAACCAGAGTGCTAACCACTAAAAATGTGCGCCAAACAACATCCTTGGGAAGGGGGCCACACTTACCTGGAAATATTCGCACTCCAGGCATAATTCCTAGAGGCTAGAACAGAACGTCGAGCAGGCCCATGGGCTGAGCATCCAGTCCGATGGTTGAGAAAATGCATTCGCTCATTCAATAGCACTTCCTAGAGATCTGTTCAGCCACACGCAATCTCAGTGAACAACCTCCGGTTACAGTTCAGAATTACCCCCTGCCACTTTGTGCAAAATTACCCCCATGCCACTTTGTATAGAAAATGCCCTCGCCCATAGGTACCTACGCCAACAACACGACACAGACAGTCAGGAAGATAGACAGCGAAGATAACGAGTTCCTTTTCTGCAATATAACCTGCATCCTCATCTTTTTATTTTATTTTATTTTATTTCATTTTATTTTAATTGCTCCATCTACTGCGTTCAGAAGTACCCCTCTGTGTTACTCCCAGCGCTTGAGGTAGCTGTTCTTTTTTTTTTTTTTTTTTTTTTTTTTTGTTTTTCTTTTTTTTTTTTTTTTTTTTTTTTTTTTTTTTTGTACCCCTGTGCCCCAGCAGCCTTAACTCAGTTAGTCACCTGTATAACTTTTGAAACGCAGGCAGACGTGAGTTCGAATCCAGATGCAACCAGATGAAACAAATTCTTGAAGTACCTCAGGATGGTCAGTTTCTCGATAATGTGTCAAGGCTGTCACCCTTTTCTGCCAACAACGTGACACGGACAGAAGTGATGAAGAGAGTGGTTTCTTCACTGCTGCATCCACCCCGGCCCCCTCCGATGTACCCGCCATGCCATCTACCTGCATCTTGAAATAACATTCATATAAAGTATGCTATAAACGGATATAAGCTTCAGTCAAGAGACTACTCCATCAACTTCAGAGACTGGACTACGGTGGGACAGGAGATACCACTACGACCCCCCACGGATTTCCCCGACCCGTTTCCACCACACCAGCTGGCAATGGTCGACATGCAATGGTATGGTGCAGAATGAGAAAAGCCACATACAAGACCATGAAAGAAGCGGCGCGACACATGGAAACATCGGCAACGATTCATAGCGGCCAGCTCAGCTATTTTGCTGGAAAAAAGACGTATTTAAGGGACGCTGGACCCGGTTTCCAGCAACAAAAGGGACTGGGACTCGTGGGGGGAGGGAGGAACTAGTGCATAGTAATAGGTATCTGGCGCCGGTTCCAAGGTCAAGAGGTTCCCCCTTCCCTGCTTCCTGCTCATTCAATCCCCTGGAGGTCAGGGTAATCAATGCTGGCAGGAATCTCTCACAAAGGATTTCTTTGACATATCCCAAATTCAATCTGTACATGGGACGCTGGGCCCGTTTCCCAGCAGGTGATGCTCCCCACCAATAGATGGAGCCTCTCCCCAGGTGCTTAAAAAANAAAAAAAAAAAAAAAAAAAAAAAAAAAAAAAAAAAAAAAAAAAAGCTTCAGTCTCCGACAATGTATTATTCTGCAGTGCTGTGATGTATCACCGCATCGTGGCGGTCGAAACCCCTCGGGGTAGTCATTGCCTGTCGGAGCACAGCAATCTGATTGGAGTACGTTACATTGTACCGAGTACTTTGTGCAATCTTGTTGTGCAATCATGTCGGCCTGCTACAGCTGAGTAACCGAGTACTTTGTGCAATCATGTCAGCAAGTCAACCTGCTACAGCTGAAGACATGTCTGCCCCTCTCGTAGCGGCTTTCGAATGGACATTTAGTACTGATTTTAATATCATTTTATTTTACGATTTTACACTCAGCTCATATATTATCCTAGGATGAAATAATGGATAACCTGCTTTCCTTTCGTGCTGCTCACATATGTCACCACACCTGCAAGCAACAAGCTCAATTCCATCAAGACCGGCAGGGATAGAAGAAGTTGAGGGATGCGGCGATAACACAAAAAAGTTGAAAAAAACCTTACCCGCAGTCCATGAGCCCACACACTCATTTTGCAGTCCACATACTAACGCGCGGCATGCTCTATAGCTTCCTTCAGCAGAAGATAGTAATCGACGACAGACCCAAGTTCACCTCCACGAAAATGATATCACTGCCGGGTTCTGTTGGAAGAGGCAGAGGTAGTGCCAAATCATCCACAAGGCGAAGATTGTGTGTACCGCTTCTCAACGCCTGTCACCCCTGGTGCAACTAAGAAAAAATTGAACGGCAGTTACGGCACGGCGTTCATGAACATGACCTGCAGTATGCGCATCATAACACGAACGCCCATTCGATGCCACAAACAATTGCACATGTGGCTCGCGCTCTCGGCTAGGAGGCAGGCCTCAACCAGCTTGGACACACTTCAAGAAGCGTCCCTCACACCCCCGTCAGTAAACAAAATCAAAAACAAAAAACACCCAAAACATGAACCACATTCTGCATGCTAAATAAACATAACCAACGCATCGCATCCGCATCCGAAATAACCTTACCCCTGTCTCTTATACACATCTAGATGTGTATAAGAGACAGGGGCCACACTTACCTGGAAATATTCGCACTCCA